ATGTATTTTAACTGGCGTAGGTCGACTGTTTACTGTTTCCGAACGTCAAACAAACTCAATGAGTTTGCGAGCATCAATCGCAAATTCATTCATATTAAATACTTGAATGGAGCTTATTTTCTCCGAGAGTATGTAAATTAACACGGCCTGTTGAACATTAATGTCATAAAAACTTAATTAATTACAGACAGATTAATTGTGTAATCTATTATGTTTACAAAACAGCAATGTGTTAATTACCTAAGTAAGTAAATTAAGTAAACCTTTCTGCTACGTATAGGCTTTGATCCTAAGCTTCGCCATCAATGAAACCCAACCAGTGAAGTTTGAATAGTCCCGTGGGATAACTACTCGTAGTTGTCTTTATTTATATAAGAAATCTCATAAAAATAATAGAATTCTAAGTTTTAGTTTAGTTTTGAAGAAGACCTGACATATGGCCTGTTAACTATTGGCTAGCAACATCTGCTATAGCAAAATCACAGCAAAGCACCGAAGTTTATTTTTCGCGACAAGATCAGTAAAATAATCTACTCAGAAAGCAAATACTTCACCTGTTCACAATCCTTCTTAATCCAATACACACACATACAAAGTTTCTCTCTTCTAATTAAAAAGAAAAGATCCTAAGTCGTTCATGAATTCTCATGATGAGGACGTAATACTCTCTCGAGGTGCGAGCACGCTTAACGAAATTGCAAAGGTTGCACATTAACAAGAAATATAGAGAGGAGATGTCGTTGTTTTACAAGTAATTAGATTGTTTTTGGGAAATTCGAATCGGATATAAGCCACTCAGCTCGTGTGAAGGGAATAGACAATTTTCGTGAGAGCCGATTCCTTGCGATGTTGAGATAAGTCCGCACCTGTATTACGTGACGCGAACGTTTCCGAATCTCGGCCATGTTTGACCAAGTTCGTCCGTATTGCGAAGAAACTGGCAAAGTTGACGACGATTATCGCTTGGCTGTTCGCGATGTTAGTCACGTAATAGCTCCTTTGGGCACTTACCGTCGGGCAATCTGCGAACCCCGCAACGTTGGCAAATTGTTTAGAATTATAACACCAAGCGGAGTTTAGGAATAACGGAGATAAACGTAATTAAGCCGCCTGCAGATTTATCGTAATCGCCGCTTACATTGTGTTAAGCCTCATTAATCGTAAATGATTTCCATTTTGTAATTTTAGTTAAAATGCTAACAAGTCTGCAGATTTAAAAATTTACCGGGCAAAGTTTTTCTTTGATCTGCGAATAAACGGCGTTGCACTTTGATGAATCGCGTGGACCCCGAGATATTTTTGCTGTGCTATTTTTTCACCAATTATTTCACGTAAGCTGCTTTTATTGCAGTTATTCATATTTTACACTGAAAAATATAATTTTGAATGTCTTTTTTCACATGAATTCAAATGCTATAGTATTATTTTGCATAACATAAATTGTACTGTTAACGACAAACATTTCCAATACACTAATTCCGTTCCATTCGAACACAAAGGGTCAGCAAAATACGACTATTTAAATTAGCTGAAACAAAACGATGCAATACGCTTATTGGCGAATTTGCCGACTGGCAACACTAGCACGCATGTGTTGCCACCGCTAAATAATTTATGCTCCGTAGATTTTTACATCGCTGATAAGCGTGCTGAAATTGCGGACCGGGTGTGACATATTGACAATCACAGCAATTAATTTATCAGCCCCAATGATATCATTTCACCCGACCTATTAAATGATATTAGTGGTAATTAATTCAAACCTGACTCCCAGTGGTTATTAGGTTACAGTATTCAGTGATTTTACGGATTATTTTAATAAATCTTATTACGACTGCCTCATCTATTATAGGCTTTTGACACAATCATTATTTTTTATTTCTCATCTGAAGAGTAAAATAAATTAAAGCTACCTATTAGAGAACTGGTTATTGGATTGTTTAATGGTTGTTACAAAAGTTGGCATAAATATAAATAATTATGAGGGGGCCAAAAGTAGCTCCAAAATTCCAAATGGTTCGTTCTGTTACTTGAATTTGGCTTAACACGCTGCCGTGTATCTAGATAATTGTATTTATAGGAACTCATAAATATGTAATTATTGGTTCGTTTATAACTGTATACTTCTGTTGGTTTTGTTTTTGAATAAACATTTATTTTCCAATTACCTTGGCGTTTTTCTCTCGTTATGTCATTACAAATTTCAAATTAATTACATTTCAGTCAAACCTTCATTATTTTCCCTTTAAAAAAATTCACCGTTTGATTAAATTGTACCCGGTTAGATTAGAATGAACGATTTTTAAATGGATTTTGCCAGGAAAATGATAAAAAAATATTCAGCACAATCACAAAAAAAACTGGCTTCGTTCAAAACGATCCTATCATAAAGGGGAGAATTATAAAAAGCACTTGGCTAAGTGCGGAAATGAAGACTTCAAAAAACAACTTCCACAAACGTTATTTCCAATATTTTCCTTAAACAGAATCTCACTTCTGGAGTCGGTATCGAGAAGACCACTCTGAATAAGTATATATTTTATTCCTTATAATACGAGTACCTTAATATTTTCTATTTGATGATGGATCTCGTCAGTCTTTTCTTTTCTTTGTCATAGATAATTATAAATTTTCATCACCTTATTTTCTAAACTAAAGATGTCCACGTATCATTTCCTACGTTATTTCTTATCATTATCGGTTTTTATGTAGAGTACATAACGTTTTTCTGGGACTAAAAACAAGATCCTTATTCTCTAAGGATTGAAGGGCATGTTTCTGATTGACAGGCTATTTGTCAAATGCCAGGCCTATACACATAGCTGACTCTTTAAAGCCGGAGATCATGACTTTCTCTGCAGAATACAAATAATATAAACATAAGTAATATCTATTTGCATGGGTCTAGACATTTTCTAAATATGAAGATGTATACTTTCATTTACCTACACATATTCATTGTCTGAATCTACGCAGAGAGCACACGTTACTAAAAAGGAAAGCTTACTAAGTTTTCTAGGTTTAAGATTCAATGGTGCTATGTAGAATCCAACATGAATGTAGTTTTATTTTAAAAATAAATCTTTATTTTTTATATAATATATAATTGACGATTAAACAATGTCACTAACATTGGAGTTTCCTTCCCTGTCACCGTCCAGTACCTTTTCAAAAGACCCTCGTTCGTTTGTAAAGATACATTCCTGGTCCGGTCTTTGATCTTTACTGACGTCGAGTGCTCATACTGCATTCCATTAGTAAAATCCATCAGTTGAATGAAACCAATATTCGTTGCCTGCGCAGTACAGGTAACTTCGTTAACCATTCACCACTGTGGTTTTGTATGAGATAAATAGACATGTATAATTTCAATTAATTGTACAGATGCTCTAAGCATTATCTTATTAATTTAAATGCAACGGAATTATTATAAATCCTGATCATATTTATCTCGCTTTAAAAGCACCAGAATTTGTTCCATGAATTTCATTCCTGAATGTTCTACAAGTAACTTCACAAAAGCTGTAATAAGAATTCATAACTACTTCATGAGCATTCTCTCCAAATAGTTTTCTCGGCTGATTTGTTAATTTAGCAAAGTCTATTTGCTTAGCCCTCAAAAAGCCATGAACAAAGTGCAAGTGAAGTGCCGGTGGTTATAAAGGGAACAAAGGAGCTCTTTGTTGTTTACCGCTCACAATATAATGCCGCTTTTCATGTCAAACAGCCTGCGTTTAAAAATAAATGGCGGACCGTAGCGAATCATTTTCATTTTAAAATTACACCTCGCTGTAATCCTTCTTTCTAAGCTTTCATACTATTATACAGACAATCCCAAAATAACAATGTTCTAATTATAAGCACGATCTTTATTAAAATAATACGACAATATGGTTGGTGTCTCACTTGCTCAATCGAAATCTGAGGAACGTGGGTTCGAACCCCGCCACCGCTGGACTATTGTGGTGAACTGGTGAACAGCATATATTTAGCATAGGTTTCACAAGAGGTTAACGGAATGACTACCTATTGCAATACAAATTAATTTTCATCTAACAAAACCCTGACTTGAGTTATACATCATTGAATCCACGACCTGTCGCTTGCTGAGCAACTGTATCTCTCAACATCAGGTGCGATTGCAGACAAATACTTGTCTTGTTCTGCATAAAAAAACTGTTAGAATATCTTCACAGTTCTATTTATGAGCATTTAAATCATAATTTTGGCCAACAACTCATTGCTATACTGATTTAAAGGAAAATGTATTTTGAGATGGGAAATCTAAAAAACATGAAAAAATATTAAACCACTCGTTCCGGAAAATCTTTTGACATTCAAAATTGAGAATGATGATAAAAAAAGTAGGTAATAATAACGTCAGTAATTTTATTAAAATTCCAGGAGGGGAGGAAAATTTAATTTTGGTTACGTGTTTAATATCGCGATATTGTTAGAGATGTTTATCTAAATTCCAAGGTGGCTCAATAACTCACACTTATGGGAACGAATGGCCAATTTGTGGAGAATGAATGGCTCGATCCGAAGATAACTTGACACTGCACACTCAGACGGGCGTGCGCTAGTTTTATACCGAGGTAGAAGGTAGGCTCTTTAAGACTTTTGAACGACTTATTTTTAACAATTTCATGAACAATTTAATTTATGATTAAGTAACTTTATTTGGCCAAACGATGGTGACAGTCTTTTACAGAATTTACTAGGTACTTATGATGACAATAAAATTTATTATTGCCTTTCAAAAAAGCTACAAAATTCCAGCTAAGCCAGCTAAGCTACTTATTCATAATTATTCTTATAGTCACCAAAATATGATGAGTAGGTAGGTAACCAAATTGATAAGTTTTGACACTCACCTCATCTCGATATTATAACAAGAGTATTTTGGTAGGTACTGCCAATTTTCCCATAGCCTCCGCAGGCCGCTTCACTTAAAGTAAGATGGCCCATTGGAGGTCACAATAATGCGACAATAAAAATGATAGTCTCCTCCTTTATTGCGCTTTGCCAAATGTAGTTACGTAACAAAACCTTATTTCATGAGTATTATTTATCTAAATGACGTCACAACTTAACTCTATCTATTGAATTATATCGGGAGATACAACACTCGTAAATAAGAACTTTCATTTCGCGAAAACAGTTATGTATGATGTCTACAAATAAGTACGTAATGCATTATCTACTACAACTTTGTATATTCATGAAGAAGGCTTAAAGTTTACCTCTTAGGCTGAGTTGCACCACCAAACTTTGATCGTAACTAAGGATAACGATAACCGGTGATTTTTGTATGGAGTTTGTCGAATCCCATAAAAATACACCGTTTATTGTTATACCTAGTTACTGTTAAAGTAAGATGGTGCAATCCAGCCTTAATATTCATTTTGCTATAGCTCATGTTCTAGGAGTAATATGAAAAATGTTAGTACGTGCATAACTAGATACTTGATTGAATGATTTTCAACATCCAATAAAAAGACACAACAACATACAAATTCTAACTAAAAAGTGACAACACTTTGACAAATCTTCATTTTCTAGTTTTGAAATCCGTGCGCATGACCTCTTGAATTTGTCCCAGCACCATTTGGAACTGCGTGGACACCCTGTAGTTGGCTTGGAACTTCTCACATAGTTCCACGAAGACCGGGTGTAAGTATCTCAGGATTGCGTGGTCGAGTGTAGGGAACATGTGGTGGAGTGCGTGGTCACCGAACAAAGTGACCACAGCGAATACACTGCCGTTAACGTCCTTTCTGTCTAAGAGAGCTTCGACTTGATGTTCTCCCCAATCTGGTGTCTCACTCCTGTAAAGATTATAATATTCGTACAGTCACATTTTTGTTGCAAAATAACACCTATTACAGATAAATAAAGGTGACAAAGTGTTTACGTGCGGAGTTTGTAACTCAGTGACGAGCGGGTTCTGTTCTATAGAATGTGAAGAGCACAGAGAAAACTACAATAACTAACTGTCGATCTTAAGTGATAGTAACAGTCACAAATGTTACAACAGAAAATTATAGTCTAACGAGTGAAATGAAATGACAGAGACTTAATATTTTTAAGGGCAGCTTAATAACTAGCTAATTGATTACTTCTCTAAAACCTACACCGGGTCTATGTAATAGCACAGAATAATAACACTATGCAACAAATTAAAAAAAAATCACTGGGTTCACAGTATGTAATTATGATTCACCACCTTAATACTGTTTGAAATATTGAAAAAAAATTGTTGTATCACATCAAGTTTATTAGTGAAACGCATTTATTGATTTTATTTAAAATTGTACGAAATATGGACATAGATTGTTATTCTACATTAAAAAAACATTTTTTTCAACAACATTTTTTTTAACGATTGCCTTTCCTCTTGTGGTCAGTAGTGTCAGTATCCCTCTGGAGGCTCCAACAGTAATCTGCAAGCATCGCTGGCTGCCATCTACCTTGGTAACGCTTCTCATACTCTGCTATTTCTTGATGAAATCTTTCTCCGTGTTCATCACTTACTGAACCCATGTTATCCGGAAAGAAACTTAAATGGGAGTGTAAGAAATGAATTTTCAATGACATATTGCATCCTAGTTTGTGATACGTATCCAGCATCCTGTTAATTTTTTCATGAAAATCTGGTGATTTGTGATTGCCTTTTAGGAGTAAATTGACCACAAACGTAACAAAATAAGTCAGGAGAATTAACACAAACACGCGGCATTTTGTAGATTTATGAGTAATCTAAATGTTCTGATGACTTTTGTACACATCAATGATAAAATTTTATAACTACCCTCAACCAAATGTTGCGGAACGTAAATAAAGTAAGATTTCTATTATTTATGTTTTGGGACGTGATACAAAGTTATGAATTTGTTTTCTGTTGTTTACTAAGTATACCTAATACGAATCATCACTCGGGGTATCAGTGATTTTTTTGGTGTTGCATAGTGTAATAGATCCAAATATCCCTAAAGTTGAGGCTTTTGACCAGCCTTCGGACTAGTTTTATGCTGTTTCTACTTTTATTGTTCCAGATAATAAATTCCATTACCTTGGTTGGTCCCCATCTTTAATAGCGTCAGGGTGGTGATGAGCAGCATTGACTCCGATGCTGTAGAATATCAGGCTTCCAGTGCAGACTATCCAGGACCAAGTGTACAGGACATGGGGAACAGAAGTACCGCTGACTACCCACATACAGACAGGCAGGAGCAAGCCAAGGCCGTCGTGCCAGCGGTAGTGCTTTTTGAAGAAGCCTTTTCGAAGAAACACTGAGAAAAACCTGAAATGTGTAAACAATATTCAGCAGCAGAACTAATGATATTGATACTAATGAACTAAGTACATCCTAATTCTGACTTGGCAACTGATTTTTGTGTCTCATATACCTACCAAGGCAATCAAGAGAAAATACATTAAAATTTTAAATTTAACTAAAACTTAGACCTTCATCATGTTTAAGAAGTTTCCAGACCAGATAGTCTTTGGGCGAATTAAAATGCAAAATACTTATTTCAAGTCACATAAAATTCAGTTTTGTTTTACTAAAATTATTATGATTAGATTCACAAAACAGCCCACTACTTGATGTTGTTATTGTTGTTGTTGTTGTAGCGTTAACAGTGTACAAACATATTTAAATCATATTCCTAGAACGAAAGCCTGGGCCTTTATAAACAGGCTAACTAAAACAATCGATTTCGTCGAAGGCAACTCATTCAGTTAGTCATATTTGTTACTATATTTTCTGGTTACTCGCTTGTTAGCCAACTGGTTTTTAAGTAGATATACAATAGACCAAAGCTTCAGCCATCGCCAACGCGATCTGCACGCGTTGATTTGGCTGAAGCTTAAAGGCTAAGGGCCAGTTTCACTTTTTCTTCAGATAGTTCTCATCCAAGTGCTTGTATTTTAACTATTTTATTTTTATTATTGTATTTATTTGTTTTGGAAAACCAAGGTTTTAATAATCACAAGCTAAGCAACAGGCTAACCACTTATTAGGTAACGGATAATAAATAGGCTATCAGTAAACTATCAGCGAGTGGTGAAATAGACCCAAGACCCTATTTTCTATTTTTAAGTAATTGCAAAATTAATTTTCTTAGGCTGATTTTTGTTTGTAGTTTGACAGATTTTTAACGTTGTTAAAGTTAAGTAAAATGGCGCAACCCAGCCTTGATAATTAATCTTACATCAAACTAATGTATTATGCTTTTGCACAATTAAAATATCACGTTACCTTTTAAAGAAGCTCAAAAAGAACACAAAGGGGAAAAATAGTAATTCGGTTATAAAGCCCAATTTGCCGTACAAAGGCTTATCCTTCCTTGGGTTGTAGAATAAAACCGGTTCCAGGGAGCTGATCTCCAAATCCATTAGAGTGTTTGTATAGAGATGGTGCGATATTACGTGGGACACTCTGAAATCTCTGAAAATAAGGCAATTATTTGACAAACATAATAATACTTATATTACCGTTTTCTTTGGAAGTTTCCATAAACAGAAATCTAATAATCTTTTCTCCTAAAATTGATTCTTTACATACTTAACTCGTACATGACATTTATTGTCCTCAGTCAATACTGACTATTTAATTAATAGGAATGTAATTAGTATTTGTTATTGAAAAAACTCGCAGGAATATAACAGTTACGGTCTATCTATTGTTTCATATACCTTAATATTTAGTGGGTAAAACAGCTTCAGAACATTTCCCAGAAATATTGGTACAAGGAATTACAAGGTACATGTATTTCAACTAACAAAACTGAACTATATAGATTGTAATACAATAACTATAAGGTAAGGTAGTAATAATTCAACCTTACTGCCTTACTAGGTACTTGTACCCAGAGAGTGGTTGCATGCATTGTTGGACCTAGTTCTAAGTTTCGACTGTCTGATTTAAACACTATTTCCATTAATGCTATAATTTACGTACACAAATATTATTTTTCAAACCTTGCTCTAGATTAGATTCTAAAATAAATAACAAAAAACATCATAAATACCTGTACGACCACATGCTCATGTTGAACAAATACATCCTCCAATTCGTTCTCCTATGAATATAGTTATGACACGCTACTGTCAGGAGCGCAAGATTTACAGATGCGAAAATGTACCAAACATGGGCTGCATAGTAATTTTTCACCCACGCTGCCATTGCAGAGCTGCATAATAGCGATACAAATAATGCATCTGTTATTCTGTCCGCAGCTTTGGATACATCTTTGGGAATATTCTTCAGTTCTTCGAACACTGCTCGCTTCAAAGTCTTGTAGAAGCCATCTTCCTTGAATGTGAAGGGAGAGTTTCTTGGAGCAGTTGCGTCTCGGATGTAAAATTTGTCCAGGAGTTGAGCTGTAGTCGGGTTTAAGTGATGCGCTTCGAATGCTTCTGTTATATCTGTACCCTATAAAACATATGTCATTGAGTTAATGGGTATTTCTCAAAAAAAAATGTACATTTTGAAAAAAAAAAAGTGTGCTTTGAAACAGTTCAAAAGTTTTATATTTATAAATCATCACACAAAAAAAACACACACAATTTTGAAGGATGAATATATCTTTAAGATAACGAAGAATTATAGCTATAATCCTACTTATTACCAAATATTTAGATATTTTAAAAATAGTCCTTTTTTACCTTTCATACAAAAACCTGTTTGCCACCCTAGCTTTTTCATGTATTTTTGTTTCATAAAATGCGATACGTAACTAAATTATTGTAAATTTCTTTGTATTATCGTTCTACAGTAATCGCAGTTTCTGTATCAAATTGATTTTCTATGGGGTGTCATAATGAATTGGCAATTTAAAGCAAAAAAAAAAAATGAGTCGCTCTCATTTACTATTTCGTTATTTACTCTTTAGTTACGATTTATTTCTACTTTCCCATGGTTTCTGAACAATTCCGTATTTATTTTACACGGACAACAATAGCTGCACTCTGAATGGCTGTTGGCCTGACGTCTCCGCCATAACATCTATCGCGAAAATTAGTGAAAACGTGTGTGTTTTGTGGGATTACTTTTTCGTAACAGGCAGTAAAATCAGCGATTTTATATAGAACGGTAAGTCTTCATTTAACCATTTTTTGTAATACGTGTGGTACGAACATTTAGTAAGCTTTTATATTTGCTGTAACAAATTTTATCAAAAAAATACTTGTTTCTGATCTCATTTTGTCTAATATTTCGTTACGTTTTTTACGAATTTCGTTACGTTACGAAAAAGTACAACATAATGCTGAGTGTATACTGTTATTACCTGACTAAGCATAGTAATATTCACTACTTAATTTATTTCAAAAAATATAGAGCGTTAATAACAAAAGGATTGGATACTATCTGCTTTACAGAAGTGCCACCAGCAAAAAATTATCAAATCATTTAGATTACGTTTTTATGTGATTACTTCTTTTGTTTTTTTAGGAATGCCGCCAAAAACCAATGCCGAAAGGCAAAAAGCTTACAGAGAACGACTCAAAATGGATAAACATGATGGAACAAAAATAATTTTATTAAAATAGTATGAATGATTACTCCCTTATTTTATTTCTAACCCCTTAAAGCCCTTAATATTACCCCGTATTTGGGTGCATACTTACAAATATTTCGAATTGAATAAATGAAGAGCATTCACAATATTTCGCCAATGTATAACAAGCCTTATGGCCTTACTATTTCGTTACTACCGTTTCGTTACGTACATTTTTTTTGAGAAATACTCTAATAATTATGAGGAGGTCGAGAAAACTTATAATGAAGAACGCCACTAATCATGAAGATTAGTTGAATAATTTATTTATTCTTTTAGCATGTAGTATCCACACTTCTTTGCCGACCTTGATTTTATTTATCGTGTATTTTTTACATTACGGTGCAGTATCAAAAAGAGAGTTTAATTAATGCCTTAGTTCAATAAAGTTCACCTTATGCTAATTAACGTGAACTTAAAGATTAAATGACTAAAAAAGAAACACGATAAACAAAAACTATGTAGGTATTACAACATTTCAGAAAAGGCAATGACTAGTAAAGCCGATAACCCTTGGGGAAAATCCACTGCTCATTTGCAATGCCTTTGATGGTCGGCTTCTAACACTTTCTGGAGTAATATTTATTTCAAAATTGATATCTTTGAGATTTAATATTATTAAAGCAAGAATAATTTAAAGCACTGCATTTTGGACGGTAATTATGTTTATAATATTAAAAATACAACCTCAGCATATTATTTTTACTGTATTTTATTAATTACTTACTGGCCTAGGCCTAGGGAATGGCCTATGTTCAGCAGTGGACGTCCAATGGATGAAATGATGACGATGATGATGAGTATGACAATTAAAAAATAAACTACAAAATTCACATACTTAATAGAAAATTATTAAGGAATAAGCTTAGTCAAAACTGTCATAATTTACATCATCATCATCATTTCAGTCACTGGCCGTCAACTGCTGACCATTATGCCTCTCCCAATGATTTCCGTACTGTCCGGTTGGTAGCGGCCTGCATCCACGTAACTTATCAATAGATTAAATGGATTAGGACCAGTTTCAGAACATATAAATAATAGCATGAAAATGCCACTTACCTGAGTAAGCTCCAACCACTCTTCGCCCCCCGGGTGTCGTTTCATAAAGCTAGTAAAATCGTATAATTTATCGTAAACTCGCCATAACCCTTCGGCGCCATCGTCCATGGCTTTTCCAGCCAGCCACGTAACAGGGTCCTTCGAAATATCATCTCTTAGAGAAGGATACTTCAGCTGAGGAAAGGTCACGTGTGTTTTCTTCTCTTCTGCCCTTTTTTGGGCCAATTCCACCCATTCCGACTCTTTGGGAGCCATCCTAAAAATTTAAGAGCAAAACTTAGACTATCTTACGAGTACTTCTACGCTATCAAAGAAACATACTAAGAGATTGTATATAATTGACCAATAGTTAATCATGCTTATCTTTGTGCATTGTAAACAAGTTGATGAGATTAAAAGTTAGGGGTGGTTCTCACTCTTTTAATTATCAGGGCAGTTAAACTATTTTCTGTTTTACGTTAATTAGTGTCGGTATTGTAACGTCAATGTACAAATGACACAGTAGGTACCGCCTTCAGGTAAATACTCGTATACTACCCGTTCGCGCTAAGTTTGCCGGTCCGTGGAATGCGCGTCCCCTCCTCCAACCGCGATGAAACGCAATTTGTTAGTGATTAAACGCAATTAAGTGTTTTATTTTACGCAAATACACAATTTTTATCAATATTAATAAATAAAAAATATTTTCAATAAAGTTTGCTAAAGTTATAGACGCATTCCTTCGAGTGACGTCATATCGCCAGCGGCAAACTTTCGCGAACGGATAGCCTACCAATTTTTTTCTTGAATGTATTATTTTATCTTAATTTTTCATCGGTATTCTTCTTTCCACCGAGTAGATTTTATATTCAAATTCCTTTTATTTTCTTCTCATTTTATTTTATTATTATTATCTCTTTATTCATTTTCCTTCTTATTTTTATTTTTTTTTACAATGTAAATTATAAAAAAACTAAAAATACATTATTATTATTATTATTTGTACGCTTTGGAGCTCACGGGTCAAAAGTGGCCCGGTCCTTTATAAGGCTTGCGTGGGGATACAGATCCAACACGTAGAGGCCGTTTTAAGCGCAAAATAATCGACAAAAGTGAAAGTGGTGCACATGCTGGATCTAGTCTCTGACTATATCATGGGATGTAGCCAGAGACCATCCCCAGCCTGTGCACAGGAGCTATTGCAGTTATTGGTGAATGGAATAGGGTTATGGATGAAGGATCGAGGGAATGGTTACTGGGCTATGGATGGAGACTACGGGTCACCTGCCTGGTTCATAGTCTCGGACTGAAAAAATGGCAGGCGGTGACTAGCCAGCGACTAAATGGGCCCCCCCTGGCGTCATGAGTCGTATAGACCGGACTGAGGGGCAACATTGGCGTCTGCCAGCTCAGGGGTGTAGAGAGGTGTGCTGCGCTTTCTCCGAGGTTACTCGCGGCGTTATGCCCTTTAACACTTCCACCCCTGGAGCATATAGCTCTAGCGACTCCACTCTGGCCGGCCGGTTAAGGCAAGCCAGAGGTGAAAGTCCTGCAGACCCTCTCGGATTCCACTTCGGCAAGCCGAAGACGAGGGTCTTGACCGACTCTCGGGAGCACTCGGATTAACAACTGGCCCCGTGGTGTCGCTACTCACCAACAGCTCGCCACAAAGCTGCCCTGCGGGGCTTATTATTATTATTATTAAGGGTATTTCAAACTCACCTTTGACTGTTGGCTTGCCAGTTGATGCTCTTGAGATCATCGTGTTCTGATAATCATGAGTTCACACGTGGAGTGTCATTAATAAGTGGGATTATGGATTTATATTTTCATCTCAACATTTTTAAACATCCCTACTTATATTGAACCCTCATTTTTATTTTTTTTATAAATAATGTGAACTAGGCCTAAGCTATCACGCAACAAACGTCATGAACAGATATGCACTTTGACATGATAACCTTTTGTGTCAATAGTTTAAATTTACATACTGTTATTCATTTAGTTGTATTAGCTATTATTTCTAAAAGTACCTACCCAGTTAAGTATGATGAAGGAGCCAGGAACAGAAAAAACCTACATGACGAAACATCACTTGAAAACGACTGATTTAGAAGACATAGTACATACTTTGTGAAAAGTGAAAGACAGCCATTACATAATTCACTAACTTTGACTTTAAACAAACAACTTAATCTCCAATCTGCAAAGATAATTATAAAACTAAGGAGCACTTTTATTGTTTATTATTTTTAGGAGCCAGTTTATCAAACGTCAAAGGTTGAATGGAATATCACATTTTAATCAAGTTGTATTTATTACATTATCAGTTTCTGTCAAATAAAATACATTGGCACTTCTAATAGACGCAAATACCTAGTTGTTGTAAGGACATTTAGTGGGGAAGACGTTTTGCTTATTATTGATGTCCAGGAGTAAATAAAAATGGCTCCAAAAACTACAGAGTACTTAGAAATAGCTCATCAGAGAGCAGCAGAAAAAAAAACACACGTCAGTTTTCCGCAACTGAAATATCCTTCTCTCCGTGATGACGGGTTACGGGACCCCATACAGTGGCTGTCAGGAAAAGCCATGGATGATGGAGCTGATGGCATGTGGAGGATACACAACGCGATATACGACTTTGAAACCTTCGTTGACAGTCATCCTGGTGGTGCAGAATGGTTGGAACTTACGAAGGTAGAGTTTTAACCCTTCTTATTTAAACGCGTTTCACGAGGGAAAATTTTTATGCTATTTCTGCTTTTCACGACTGATTTTGTCATCATAAAAAAATGATTTTGAACATTTTATTAAGTTGAATAAATCTAAATTCATTCGTCGTTCAGCCACTGGTGACCACTTCGAAGCATAAAACGCTCATACTAAAGTGAGATTATCCTTTGAAATGCGTCTATAATATAGCAGTGTAATAAATGGTTTTATGTTTTCTTATTTATCGAAATTCTTTTTAAAATAGGGAACGGATATTACAGAAGCATTTGAGTGTCATCACTTGAACCCAGTAGTAGAAAAAATGCTGGAAAAATATTACGTGAAGGAAGCCACAACTCCCAGAAATTCTCCTTTCACTTTCCATGAAGATGGTTTCTACAAGAGCTTAAAAAGGGCAGCGAGAGAAGAATTAAAGAAAGTTCCCAAGAATCTACCAAAATACAGTGACATGATTATAGATGGACTCTTCTTTACTTGTTTGGTTACTGCAGCGTTGTCAGTTTGGTCAAAAACATACTGGGTTGTTAGGGCATCGTACTTTGTGGCATCTTTAACTTTGGCTTGGTCTGTAGTGGCTTCACATAGCTACATTCATAAGAAGACGAACTGGAGGATGTACATTTTTAACCTTGGATTATGGTCCTACAGGTAAGATTATCTGACATAATTCTAGTAGTGCTATGTAGAGTTCGACTATCTCAACTGAAAGAACCTGAGATTGATTCCACATCCACAGGCTTAATCAACCTTTTCTAATAATTAATAGTTTAGTTTTCACACAATTTGCAATCATATTTATTCATCTCAAAAATATACATATATTTGTCGAAGACATACAATAAGAGAAGAGATCAAAAATACCTACAGAGTTTTTATTTTAACACACTTTTCAGGGACTTCCGAGTATCGCACGCTCTTTCCCATCACCTTTATCCCAACACGCTGATGGATTTGGAGATAAGCGCATTTGAGCCATTTGTATTCTGGAACCCCAGGAGGGACAAGCCTTTCTACGCTTATTTATCATTCTTCATTGAATGCCTCTTGTTCCCGTTCATGTTTATGATGAACTTTGTAAAAAGGTATGTAGCATTATAATTATTAAACATCTCATTGTCTGTAAAGTTATTCACGGTCTTTTTGTTTTTAACTGTGATGACCTTAACTTCTTATTGCAGGTTCCTTTTAAACTTCATTCAGAAAGACTTCTTCAAGAAGCACTACCGCTGGCACGATGGTATCGGCTTGCTCTTACCAATCTGGATGTGGGTCATCAGTGGCTGCACTTTCTATGAAGCCATTGTGGGTTGGTTGTGGATCAACTGCACTGGCAGCTTCATCTTCTTCCTCATTGGATCCAACGCTGCTCACCACCATCCAAAGATATTCAAGGACGGTGATGAAGTCAGGTAGAGTTTTTGTTAAATTCTTATTTGTATCAGTGAACATAGTAGGTATTTTAGAAGCAGAAGCTTTTTAATTTTCAGTATTTTCATGTTGACCGACTTCACATTTTGTCTCCGGAGTAGCTAAACAAACGTGACTTGGTCTTTGCTACAGCGTTTATTTGAACATCGCTTCTCCGTTTTGTGAAGTGATTATTACAACTGTCACAAATAATTTAATTAGGGAGGCAATGCTTATGATGTCTTTTAATTTTCAGGACGGAGACACCAGACTGGGGAATGCACGAGTTGGAAGCAGTCATGGATCGCACTGACATCAATGGAAACATCTTCAAAGTCATGACCTTTTTCGGAGACCATGCTCTTCACCATCTGTTCCCTACTTTGAACCACGACGTCCTGCCATACTTGTACCCTGTATTCTTGGAACACTGTGAAAAGTACAAAGCTAATTTTAGAATGACGTCGTCTTATGACCTTTTTATCGGTCAGCTTAAAATGGCTGTTAAGAAAGATGTCTCACTTTTAAACGAATAAAATTTGATTGATGCTTTATCACTAAACATTATTTAAATTAAGAATCTAAGGTTACTGTTATAATTAAGAAATAAATGCTTTTGCACACATCATAGGGTATCCTAAATAAATAACTCTATAACTTTTTTTTTATTTTATCCTACTAATATTATAAGGTTAAATATTTTGTAAGCATGGATGGTTATGTTTAATCGCCTAATCCACAAAACCAATTAGTATATAAAAGGAGAACCGTATGAACAAAAATCCTGAATCGATTTTTAAATGGGTATCAGTTGTTTTATTATAATGCTCACTTTATCCCACCGAATGCTCATAGTCTAATAAATTAATGGGGTATAGAAGTTATATAATGTAGACTGACAAAGTTTTTAATAATTTTCTTTGTGATTGTGGCTTGTTGTGTATACCTATAAATAAATAAATAAAAACCAATATCACTCTATAAGGGTATTAAAATGCAGTATATTTATTGCATAAAAGCGTGCATTATTGCCGTTTGCTAACAATATTACATGGAATATTCATAAGACCCCCACCGCCAACGCAGTAGGTATGCAATTAATCTGCTGGTTCCTCGAATCCTTAGCGAAGTAATTAACATCTCCATGTCATTATTTGGAGAAGACATAGATACAGTGGCGCAATATAGACAGAGTAGCGAATCCTTTTGATGCTAATCAAGCGTGCATGCGAGCTATATGCTTAAGTATAGTAGGTTCACAGAGTTTAGCACGATTGTGCCGTTCATACCATTGCTATCGAAAAACGAATGTATGATACTACCACTATTACTATTAATACTAAAAATAGATGCACATCTTCTACGACCTAAAGTAATAATATAGTACGCAAACTACCGGCATAAAATCAATGCTATTTTTATTATTTTCCCTCAAATCAAGTTGCTTACCTCATACATAACATAGCCGCCATACAGGCAGTGGCAAGCCACTACTTGCTTTGATTCTATAAGTGAGTCTATAGACAAAGCATTATATTATATTAATAGTAAAAGCAAAGTAATATTATCTATAGACAAAGCAAAATCACTCAGGTAACAATATGTCAGTCTTTAGATTAAGTTTAGGAGCACTGGTCACTACCAGAGAATTTCAATATTCCCATTTAGCTACAAAAGCCAGTCTGCACCATGAACCATGACAGGTTTCGTAATCAATTAAGCTATCAGTCTAAACTTCAATCTGCCTGTCTTGTAGATTGTAATAGCAGTATTAGATTAAGATTTTCTATTGAAACAGATTCTCGGGTGATGTTAAATTAGCAATCAAGTCTTCAATGATACTTATTTGGTTTCATCTTCTCTGGTTATTAACATACACACAACAGTTAGGTACCTGAATGGAATAGAACTCTATTCATAATTAATAAATAATCTGTAATCACCAATAATAATAATAAAATTAAACAACACTTTTATTGTTTATTAGCTGTCCCGACGTTGTTCTGTCTTATGAAAGTTAATATAGCCCTTAAGTTTAATTGTTTTAGCCAAATGACGTCTACTGCAGGACAAAGGCCTCCCCCTAGAATAGGCTAGTTTCCAAAAAAAATTTTTTTACTCCGTCATGTTTAATATCAAAAAATATTGGACACATATATTTTTATTTGTCAATCTAACAAATAATTACATAGTTATGGGGCGTTGAAGTTCCGCACGACGTCACAACGTGCGGCACTTTTATGCAAGCATTGACGTCACGGGCCTCTTCTTATGAACTTTGGCGTGCTTTATCTCTTTAAATTTTCATTAGTTTGAAAAAGTGAAAAATACGTGTAGAGTATTTTTTGATTAGTTAACTGACGGACTAATTAAAACTCTTGCTTTTTGACCCAGGAAACATCCCTATTTTCACAACGACCGGTTCTGCGCCTCCCGTATCCAGGCACCTCCCGCTAGTTAACAAAAATTCCTATATTTTTTTGAAATAAGAACCTTCTTCTGACAATTACAAACACAACAAGAAAAGAATTAGAGAAATCGGTCCAGCCGTTCACGCGTGATGCCGTAACCAAGAAAAACATTTATCTAACGTCAAAGTTTGAATGAAATATCTCATACTAGCTGTACCCGCTAGTTTTACGTTACTGCTCCGTTATTGGCTGTAGGGTGATCTTATAGCTTAAACCCATCCCCGATAAATGGGCTATCCAACACAAAAATATTTTTTTTAAACCGGACCAGTAGGTAGTTAACGTTCAAGCAAACAAACTCTTCAGCTTTATAATATTGGCCGTTTGGTGTAGTGGTTCAGAACGGACTACTATGCCGAGGTCCCGGGTTCGATTCCCGGCCGGGCAGAAATTGAAATGATGAATTTTAATCTGTGACGGGTCTGGGTGTTACTATTTAAAAAAAAAAAGTATATAAGTAGTATATCCGTTAAGCTAGCACCCATAACACAAGCATATTAATTGCTTACTTTGGGGCTAGATGGCGCTGTGTAAGATTGTCCAAAGATAATATTTATTATTTATTATTAATATTGGTAATTAATCAAGCTCTGTCTTATTACATTATCTGTTTTGGTTAAATAACATTTATCAGCTCTTGAAATAGACACAAACACATAGTTGTTGTAAGGACATTTAGTGGGAAAGACGTTTTGCTTATTATATTAATGTCAATGAATAAATAATAAATAAAAATGGCTCCAAAAACTACAGAGTACTTAGAAATAGCTCATCAAAGAGCAACAGAGAAAAAAACGCACGTCAGTTTTCCGCAGCTGAAATATCCTTCTCTCCGTGATGACGGGTTACGGGACCCCATACAGTGGCTGTCAGGAAAAGCCATGGATGATGGAGCTGATGGCATGTGGAGGATACACAACGCGATATACGACTTTGAAACCTTTATTGACAGTCATCCTGGTGGTGCAGAATGGTTGGAACTTACGAAGGTAGAGTTTTAACTTAACCCCTTTTTACACGTACCTATCTCAAAGGGAAAATATTAATACAATGTCTGCTGGGCACGATTGTTTTTGTCTGAATAATTTAATGTTTAGTTGATTTGAGTATATCAATAAGATTATTTAATTCTAAATTCATTCGTCGTTCAACCACTGTGACCATTTTGAGATATAAAACGTTTATATTTAGTGTGAGATTATCCTTTAAAAAGCTTATTCTATAATATAGCACAGCAGAAAAATGGTTTTAAAATTCTTGTAAGTAATATAGATAATTATGATTTTTTATTATAGGGAACGGATATCACAGAAGCATTTGAGTGTCATCATTTGAACCCAGTAGTAGAAAAAATGCTGGAAAAATATTACGTGAAGGAAGCCACAACTCCCAGAAATTCTCCTTTCACTTTCCATGAAGATGGTTTCTACAAGAGCTTAAAAAGAGCAGCGAGAGAAGAATTAAAGAAAGTTCCTAAGAATCTACCAAAGTACAGTGACATGATTATAGATGGACTCTTCTTTGCCTGTTTGGTTACTGCAGCGTTGTCAGTATGGTCAAAAACATATTGGGTTGTTATGGCATCGTACCTTGTGTCATCTTTGACTCTGGCTTGGTCTGTAGTGGCTTCACACAGCTATATTCACAAGAAGACGAACTGGAGGATGTACATTTTTAACCTTGGATTATGGTGCTACAGGTAAGAGGTTATCTGACTTAATCCTTGTAGTACCACCGTATATCTGATTTAAGATTCGACTATCTCAAACAAAGAAAGACTTCTTTCCGAGAGGAGTTTTTTTGATAATTGACAGCAAACAAAGGATATCCGTTTTTTGACGCTCCGTCGTCCGGTGAAAACAGCCTAAGGCAATAAGACTGACTGCCGATCGTGCTGTGTAAAGTTTTCCAGATTGATTGACATTATCATTTATATCACAAAGATGTGGAATTACATATTGTAGTTCAATAAATTTGTAAATATTTAGACTGCACTATTGGCAGTCAGTCATGTTGAAAAATATCTATTTCTCGACGAGTTATGTGCACGTACAGTTAAAAAGAGAGATTCTACAGTGAATTTATTTTAATATCTTTTTTAGGGATTTTCGAGTATCGCACGCCCTTTCTCACCATCTTTATACTAACACCTTGATGGATTTGGAGATAAGTTCATTTGAACCATTTGTATTCTGGAACCCCAGGAGGGACAAGCCTTTCTACGTTTATTTATCATTCTTCATTGAATGCCTCTTGTTCCCGTTCACCTTTATCTTGAATTTTATAAAAAGGTATGTAGCATTTTAATTATAAAATATCTCATTGTTTGTAGCTATTCACGGTCTTTTATGTTTAATTGTAGAAACAGATAATTAATTCGAGTTTTCCTTGTCATCTGAATATTTGTATGAGCTTATAAAAACTTTCAGGCTTCAAATGTAAAAGTTGTTGGACAATAATTATATCAATATTCAATATCTAATAGTTTTTCACGTTTTGATATCCTTTATTTACATCCTTCAAAGGAATATTGTATCTAAAAAATTTAATAAACTCTTTAGGTAACTCAGTCAACTATTGAAAGTTATATACATATGCTTAATACCTGATTCTTAATTCTTATTGCAGGTGTCTTTTGAACTTCATTCGGAAAGATTACTTCAAGAAGCACTACCGCTGGCACGACAGCATCGGCTTACTCTTACCAGTCTGGATGTGGGTAGTTAGTGGCTGCACTTTCTATGAAGCTTTTGTTGGTTGGATATGGATCAACTGTACTGGAAGCTTCATTTTCAGTCACATTGGATCTAACGCTGCTCACCATCATCCAAAGATATTCAAGGACGGTGATGAAGTCAGGTAGTTTTTGTTAACTTCTTATTTGTTAGTAGATATTAATTTTAGAAGCAGAAGCGTTAGTTTTCAGTCTTTTCATGTGGAACGGTTTCACATAATTGTTTTCGGAGTAGCTAAACAAACGTGACAATTGGACTTTACTACAGCGTTTATTTGAACATCGCTTCTCCGTTTTGTGAAGTGATTATTACAACTGTCACAACTTTTACTTTACCTAGGGAGGCAATGCTTATAGATGTCTTTTATTATTTCCAGGACTGAGACACCAGATTGGGGAATGCACGAGCTAGAAGCAGTCATGGATCGCACTGACATCAATGGAAATATCTTCAAGGTCATGACCTTCTTTGGAGACCATGCACTTCACCATCTGTTCCCTACTTTGGACCACGACGTCCTTCCATACTTGTACCCTGTGTTCTTGGAACACTGTAAAAAGTTCAAAGCTAATTTTAGACTGACGTCATCTTATGATCTTTTCATCGGTCAGCTTAAAATGACTGTTAAGAAGGATTTCACGCTTTTGAATGAATAAGATTTGATTTCTTTATCACTACTTAATGAGGTTCTTAAACTATAAATAATAATAGATTTATAGAATAAGAAAATGAATAAGATAATTTCAGTAAAAGTATACTTACAGTACAGTACACTGCCTTAAACTATTACATTCGTAACTAGTTAACATTATTCTGTAAATGAGTACTAAAATCTATACTAATATTATAAAGCTGAAGAGTTTGTTTGTTTGTTTGTTTACTTGAACGCGCTAATCTCAGGAATTGCCGGTCCGATTTGAAAAATTATTTCAGTGTTAGATAGCCCATTTATTGAGGAAGGCTATAAGCTATATACCATCACGCTACGAGTAATAGCACAGAATAATAATAAGTACTACGTACAGAAGTTTTACTTCGCGAAGGTATTTAAAAAAATGTATGCTCAATGTCATTAACAATATGGTGTAATTTGGCCTGTCTCAAGAGTCAAGCACCATTTTGTTGACAAACGTCAGTGATCGGCACTGCACCGAAGCTATAGGGCTGACTTCGGTAAAATGATGTGACGTGAGGTGCCAAACTGCGGAAAATGGCGGAGGAAATACATGATTTAGCATGAATTATCATTAATAATATTAACTACTTATTTACCTCTCAGTGTCTTGAGGCAACTTAAAAAAGTACATTCTGTGTTTTTATTATTATTTAGGCAGTTAAATACTGCACAGCATTTAGTACACAATTTTCTTTATTTTCTTCCATCATACACAAGAATACGCGTGCGTGAGTCAATGTTCGCTCGTATGTGAGGCCTTGTCGAATAGTATCCTGTAGGTGGGCCATCGTGCGTGTTTTGTTTTCGATGTACAAACTCGTGGAGATGAACAGGCCTGGTAATAGGTGCAAAGCAAAAATGAAAAATGTTGCGAAAACGGGTTTTCACGCGTAGGAAGTCACGGGCACAGCTAGTGTTGTAATATGGGGTAATGCTAGTATGAAAAATAGGTCACTGTCCTTTGGTAAGATATGATTTTACACACATGATAATATCCTAAATAAACGGCTCATAATGTATTTGTTTCTTTATTTTATCCTATTAATATTCATAATAAGTAAAATGTGTGAGACTGGATGGGTGTTTGATATGTTATACAGTAGGATAGTCCAGGAAAGAATGTAATTTTTTTATCCCGCTTAGATTTTCTGTGACGGAATGAAATTAACATGGGCGAAGCCGTGGGAAAATAGTTGTAGTAATTGTAACATTATCTTTTAATTTTGTTTTAGCTAAGATAAGCGTAAGTACTGACAACAATAATATAATATTTACATTTCTATAAGATATCGTTATCTCACAGGCTCGGGGTCGGTCAAGCGGCTTGAACCTAACATCAATCAGTAGATAGACTGTATTTATATTAGCAATGTACAAATATAATTAGAATTTATTAACGTTGTTTTTATAAATTAACACGGGGATTAACCCAATTAAATATGCAATCTTCTTATTATAATTTGTGCTTAAGTTATAACCTTCCCGCTAATTCAAATGCATTTGTCNACTCACTGGCACATCTGCATGGCAAATCTGCGGTCTATGTCCAATCTTTGAATCGGTAGGTAACCCCAAAATCCTGGGGGGTACCAGGGGGTGTCATAGGACTTGTGACGGGGGGGGTGATGGGCGATCGCCCCGGGTGCCGACCCATGCTACGCCGCCACTGTGTAGATACTTAAAGCACGGATAAGCGGGAGATTCGTTACAATAGGAAAAATGCTTCAGATTTTGAGGTTATTAGCATAACAGAAGTACATTTCCATTTTCATAAATCTGTAGAGAGGTCAACT